CAACAATGCATCTGGTGACTCACTCCAGGAGGAATTTGCGTGGGGAGAGTGGGCTGCCGTGACTGCCCCAAATCCCACTTTATAAGAAGATTAACCCAAGATCATTTACATTCCCCTTTTGTCTCCTTTGGAGAGGCTGCTTGTTTAGCAAAAGACAAATATTTAGAGGCAACTGAGATCTTTCGGTGATCTCTCGTTGCAGTGCGAAGGGGTGCCCCGCGCACGGTTCTGCCTGGAGTACCAGGAAGAAATTTACATTTCAATATTGCACGGGAAGCTATTAGTGCATCGCTGTTGTCACGTCTCCTTCACAGCTTCTTTAACAGATGATTTACCATTGGAAATTGAGTTGTTTTCAAAAGGATTCTAAGTTCTAAAAGAAAGCCTTGACAACTATGTTTCTTGCACACAATCATGAAAGTTCTGGTCTGTCCTCTGAGGAGGAGACAATCAAAGCAGGAAAAAAGGCTCTAGCCAGTTTGGCTCAGAGGATAGAGCATTGGCCTGCAGACTGAAGGGTCCTAGGTTCGATTCCGGTCAAGGGCACATGCCCGGGTTGCGGGTTCGATCCCCAGTAAGGGGGTGCACGAGGCAGCTGATCAATGACTGTCTCTCATCATTGATGTTTCTATCTCTCCCTCTCCCTTCCTCTCTGAAATTAATAAAAGTATATATTTTTAAAATAGCAGGAAAAAAGTATGGCCAGATATTGTTGGTCGCAGGAAAGAACAGTGGGTTAGGCCGCAACTCCTAGGTTAATTTCTGGTGCTCCACCACTCTGAAGCAGAGGGCTTCGAATAAAGCTTTTAATCTGTGGACTTTCAGAATGGGTTGAATTAAATATTGATTATGCTTCCTCTCCACTCAAATATTCTAAGAATCAAATGTAGAACAAAAACACCTGAACTCAAACCCTGAACCACAAGTTAGGAGATCTGAATCTAGTGCTGCTCTATTAACCTGTTGTGTGACCTTGGACAAGTTACATGAAAAATTAAAAATAGCCAATCAATTTTTTCACTCACCGTGGAGCACTCACCAAGTACAAGGAAGTCGGCATTATCATACCAGTTCTTCATAAGAACTTTATGAATATGTCTCATTATTATGTTCATTTTGAAGAGAAGGAAATTGAGTCCCAGAAAGGTTACACAAGATCACCCAGTCAGCAAGTAGTTGGGTTAAATTTGAATCCATGATGCCCATAATGTGCCCTTGAGACTTCATAAAAGACATCCTTGCCAGTGTGACCTCAGAAGATAGGAGATTACATCCATCCATCCATCCATCCATCCATCCATCCATTCATCCAGCCATGCATACATAGCCTCTGAAAAGCACAAACCACTACAAAGCACAAGCCATGTCTACTTATATCTGAGAAGAACCCTCAATACATTTAGAGCAGCAGCTCTTAAATGCAGTGCAAGGAACCCCAAGGATCCGTGGACAGGAAGCAGACAGTCAATGAACCTAGGAAATTGAATGCAAATATTTTTGTGGGCATCTCTGTGCCGCATTTCTGGAGCAAAGGCCCATGGCTTTCATCATATTCCCAAAGATATCTCTGATTCTCAAGAATGTAAGAACCACTGGTCCAGAGAAATGGAACTGAAAACACTTCTTGACATATCTCATTTGTTCCTTTAGCCACACTATGTGGTGGGCACTACTTTCTCCCATTTTATGGATGAGAAAACTGAGACTCACATGCCAAAAGCAACCTTCCCGAATCCACACAATTTGTTTGATGGGTATCACTGCTGGCTGCCTCATAGCGCTTCCATTCCAGATGCTTAATCTAAGGCAGATGATGTACAGTACTCTCCAGGTCATTTGCACCCCATGCCCAGGTGAATGTTAATAGACCAGGAATAGGAGCATGTCCAATACTCACCCAACTAGACTTGTATTCTGTGGCTGGGTTTTCTACCTCTTCTGCTTTGGGGAACCAACCTTAGAAGAAAACTTATGCTAAGAGGAAGCTGGCATTAAAATAGGCACAGTGGTAGAGTGGTCAGATAAAATACTGGATGCCCAGTTCAATTTGAATTTCAGATAAACAATGAAGAACGCTTTAGCATAAGTATTCCCTAATAATACATGGGACATAACTTTGTACTGAAAAAGTATTAATTATCTATCAGAATTCAAATTTATCCGGGTGTCCTGTATTTTTATGGGCTAAATGTGGCACAATGGACCTGACAACTATACAGCATCTGAGGCCTGCACTACCTCTTGACTTTAGGTTATGTAAGGTCATTGATTCCTGCATTGCTTAAGCAGTCGAGAATTTCTGTCACTTGCACCCCAATGCATCCTACCTCATGCAGAAAATCAGTGGTTCCAACCCGGCAGGAAGGGTGCAGAATGCAAGCTCACAGCACCATACTAAATCCCAGAGGGACAGAAACTCCACACCATATTAAAAGCTACAAAGCCCATACTTGTGTGGCTTTTTTTTTTTCTATAAGAACGCAGTTTGACAGACTTACTGGAATTCATCAGATTCTCCTCAGTCAATGTAAATTCTGTATTATATAGTCACAGGATGTGAATTCATTTACACTGTAAAACTCTTTCATGTATACTAACAAACTCTAGTCATGCCAGAGATGACTGCTTATAGCCACCCCAAATCACAAAAACAAAAGCACCTAGCAATTCCAGATGAAAAATCCCAATTTTTGGACATTAATGCTAAATGTTCATGTAATTTTGTTTAGAAAAAAAAAATCAACTGGCTCCATAGAAAAGTTTGACTTTAGATAAAATCTGAAACATTGTAAAGCAATCAAATAAAATAGCAAGGAGGTTATGGGAGTGAGTAGAACCGATTGACTGAATAGGTAGCCACGGGACTGAATTGCTATTTAAGGGTAAATGGGCACGCCTGTGCACATGTGCATGTGTGCAAGTGTGTGTGTGTGTGTGTGTGTGTGTGTGTGTGTGTGTGTGTGTGTCTTGGCCATACTATTTACGCAGCATCAAAAATTACAAGGTAATGAACCTAAGACATTTATATGCAATACCAGGTATATGATCAATGAACAAAAACAGGATGTTTAGTTAGCTGTGACAGTTATGAGAAGACCAAACAAACCTGTACTTATTTGCATCCACAAGTTTCGAAGCCCTGCTCTGGTATAGAGAATTCCTATAACTTGGAACACACAGCATTAACATCACATCATCTGGGCTCCCCTCAAGCCCATAAAAGGTGATAACTCAGGGTATGTCAGCATAGAATAATTATGAAGTTAAGAAAAGTTCTAACAAAGATATCTTTGGAAAAAGCAATATATGTGTATGTATGTATGTAACTGTATTAAAAGAAATTTGATGTACAATATTCCTGGGTATAATCCTATGAAAATGTTAACTGTCCCCAAATTAATCTATAAATTTAACAAGCCCTGGATCAAAATACCAATAGGTATGGATTTGCGGGGGGCGGGGGGGGAGGATCAGAGGAGCACCTGATAAAATGTTTGTTATCTTCCTGAAAAAGAAGAGCAAAGGGAAGGAGATGAGCCCAAATAGATATTAAAAGTATTATAAAGTAAAACCAGAATAATGTGGTAGGACCACAGGACTATATAGAAGCTCAAAGGAACAGAACCGAAAGTCCAGACACAGATCCATGTATTTATACAAGGATTTGTTCACTGATGAAAGTGGGCATCTAAAAGCCACAGGAAAAATTGAATTTTTCAGTAAACAATGTTGGCTACCATTTAGGAGAAAAGAACATAAATAGCTTGTGAGTTTTGCTGGTAAGATGGCTTTTAAAAGTCCGAAGTGCTAGGTGTCCACCGATAGGTGAATGGATAAAGAAGATGTGATGCATACGCACAATGGAATATCACTCAGGAATATGAAAAAATTGAAATCTTACCATTTGCAACAACATTGATGGACATAGAGGGTATTATGCTAAGTGAAATAACTCAGAATGAGAAAGACAAATACCATATGATTTCACTTATATGTGCAATCTAAAACAAAACAAAATAAAACAAATGAACAAACAAAACAAAAGAAAAGCAAACCCATAGAAACAGAACAAACTGATGATTGTCAGAGGGGAGGTGATTAGGGGGATAGGTGAAAAGGTGAAGGGGAATAAGAGGTACAAACTTCTAGTTATAAAATAAATAAGTCATGGGAAGGTAATATACAGCACAGGGAATGTAGTCAATAATATCACAAGCCCTAGCCAGTTTGGCGCAAGGGATAGAGCACCAGCCCATGGACTAAAGGGTCCTGGGTTCGATTCTGGTCAAGGACACATACCTCGGTTGCAGGCTCAATCCCCGGCCCTGGTTGGGGAAGCAACCAATCGATGTGTCTCCCTCACATCGATGTTTCTCTCTCTCTGTCTCTCTCTCTCTCCTTTCTACTCTCTCTAAAAATCAATGGAAAAATATCCTTGGGTGAGGATTAACAACAACAATAATATCATAACAATTTTGTATGGTGACAGATGGGACCTAGACTTATTGTGGTGATCTCATTGTAAGGTATACAATGTTGAATCACTATGTTGTACACTTGAAGCTAATATAATATTGTATGCTAACTATACTAAAGTATAAATAAAATAAAATACAAAATTGAAAAAAAAGTCTGAAGTGGCAGAAAATAAACAGTAAAACGTTACCACCCATGGAACAGTAAGCTAATGTGCTATAGCCATGAACCTTCAACTTATGGTTTCCCAACAAGAAAGGGAATGTGGTCAATTCCTTGGAAGAAGGAATGGGATGCACTCTGCCACCCTGTTGGACTTCACTTGGTTCCCTTCACCCATCACCCCACCCCAAAACCTCTCTGCAGTCAGAATGGCCCTACCACCCATTCCCCTCCGTAGGACAAAAGGATCCTGGAAACTAAAAGATTTCTCTGCACATCGTGGGATTCCCTGATCTCCATAACTGTTGAAGGCACCAATGCAAACAATTTGAGAGTTATCCAAGATCAGGAGTAAGTCTTACCTGTTTCCTCTTTTCAGGGGGAAGGGATGGATCTCCATCCTACAAAGAAACAAATGCTACATTTTAGTTTTTTTTTTTAATGTGCTTAGATTCAAGGAACTGAACCAAACTATGAACTAGATTCAGACCCTCCCGAACCCCACCCCCTGCAACCAGTAATGTGCTGAACCAAGTTCAGATATGCTTTCAAAATATTAACTACAAATTCAACCAGACTTATTTTGGAAAAACCTCTGAGGAATCAGTTCCATTTAAGACCAAACCTGTATATTTTCTAAAACTGTGTGAACCAAAACAAACAAACAAACAAAAAAACCAAAAAGAAAAAACCCAAAACTGCATTTATCAAAATTATTTCTGAGCAGAGCCAATCTTATGTAATATTTCATTTGGTTGAGTTGAGTTCCTCTTTACATTGTTAGATCCAAAGGAATAGCAATGGATACACATATACACACTTGAGTTTTCTCTATGAACAGAATAATATGGGGAGGGGGTGGAAAAGATATGCTCAAAATAAAAGAAAATTAACTGAGAACTTCCAGTCCTATCAGACTTTTTATCTTAAAAGAATTCAATTTCTCTCCCTTGTGGGTCATCTGGGACAACAAATATCTCAGGTGAATGAGTAAATGCTCAATAATGAGTACACTTTTATCTGATGTTGTCCACATATTGGTCAACAGTACTTTAACCCGAGGAATCTTCCTACTCTATTTCTGTGCCAGGACAGTTCAATGAGCCCAGCACAAATGGTTAAATATTAGCAATAGTGTCAACACTTTTAAAAGAGGCTGCATATATGAGTAAAAAAGAAGCAGGAATGCTCTTGTTATCCTCCATTTCCATATAATCTATACCCTTAAAAATCTTGCTGTATAAAACCCTAAAGAAAACCTAAATGCTCACGATAAAAGAAAGGTTTAAAAAATGAAAATATTACTATGCAACTATGTTTAAAAATGAACTATATTTGTATGTATGACCTAGAGAGATGTCCAAAATAAGATGTGAGTGAAAAGAGCAAGTTTTAGGACAACATTTATATTGTGCTGTCTAACAGAACTCTGCAGAGATGGAAACACCCTACATGGAACTGTCCAGCAGAGTGGCCACCATGACAATGCCCCATAGCAATGCGATGCAATACAGTCACCACCGACCACCTATGCCAACTGAGTCCATGAAATGTGATGAGACTGAAGAACTGAGTTTTCAATTCTATTTAATTCTAATTAATTTAAAATGGAATTTAAATAACCACATGGTTTCTGTATTAGATAGGGCAGATTTATAAATACTCCATAGGAACAAATGATTAAGTAAACTGGCACACAAACGCATATGTGTACGTGTATGTGTATGTGTATGCTTCATAGGTGCCCGAGTAAGCCGTCTGGAGGGACTGGGTTGTGGAGGATTTCGGGGTGATGACATTCACCTCTTAATTTTCCCACTTTGGAACTGTTTGAATTCAATCCTTTTTTGAGGAAACGGCATGTTGAAATGCCCCCTTTCTATCTTAACCAGGGAACAGGAATGCCACGGTGACATCATACGTACGATCAGCTCTCGGTATTTCTTCTTCAGGGACTGGTGGCGTTCTCGGAGCTGGTTGGCCATGAGTTTGTACTGGTCCCTTTCCTGCTGGCATGTGTCCAGCTCCTTGGAGAGGATCAGCAGGGCCTCCTTTTTGCTCTCCAGCTTCCTTTTGCACACCAGGTACTGCAAAAGAAGTCCAAGCAACTGGTCAGGACCTCAACAGGACTCCATTTACCATACCCTGCAGGCTTGTTTTGTTTGTTTGTTTGTTGTTCTGTTGCTTGTTTTGTTTTTAGAGAACATATACCCAGAAGCATTTGTCAGTAACTGACATAGGCACCTAAGGCTGGGACAGTACCTAACCTATCCCTCAGGACAGAACCTAAGCTTTGGATGCTCATGAACTTTGGCAAACTGGGTCAGATAAAATCATTCCATTACAAATAAGTAAAACAGTAGAATACTTTAAAAAAATTACATAGCTAAACAGATAGCTGGACCCCAATTATTTTTTTAAAAGGATTTCTATATCCAGATAAGATTATGTAAAATTTTGTTAAAATTTTACAAAATGATATACACAGAAAGACACTTAATAAGACATTTGTATATCACTAACAATTGTTTCTTGGTAGCAAAATTATTTGCATGTTTTAAAAATTTTATTCTTTTTAAAAAATATATTTTTCTTGATTTCAGAGGGGAAGGGAGAGGGAGAGAGAGATAGAAACATCAATGATGAGAGAGAATCATTGATCGGCTGCCTCCTGCACACTCCCCACTGGGGACTGAGCCTGCAACCCCTGCATGTGCCCTGACGGGATTGAACCATAACCTCCTGGTTCACAGGTGGACACTCAACCACTGAGCCATGCCGGTCGGGCTAAAATTTTTATTCTTTATGCTTTTCTATGCTTTCTAAATTTTCTAGACTAAACTCATATGGTATCTATAATTTAAAAAAACACAAAAATATTATTTAAAATAATTTAATTGAACCATAAATCATTGCAATAGATTGCACCTGCCCACACAACACAGCAGACATTTTCTCACTTTAGAATTTTGGTTCACATATTTGACCAAGATATACACAACTTCTGTGATTCCAACGCAGCCCCTCCTACCAGAAACCAATTTTACGAACTAAGTATTTTAGCCACATTTGGAATTATCCCCAAACAGTCAAGTGTACCTTATGGAAACTCTTTGTCCATCCTTCTCCCCACTCCCCCCACTGTGACCCACCCCCACGTGACAACCACCCAGCACATGGGCCAGCATGAGCCCTGACCAGGACTTCTTTACTTTCATTGGCTATACCGCACCGTCTGGTGTTATTCACATATGTGAAATGTGGCACTAAATACCTTTTGAATTTGCCCCGTAAAAGACCAAATTCAGAGCATTCATGAAAACAATTTATAGTTTCATTATACACTCTGACATGAGCACTTTGTCATTGTGGACGCTCACACAAAGAAGAGAGAATCAGCACTCCCGAAACATTTGAGTCAATGCTCTTTTATGGACAAAAAGCATTACTCATATAGAGAGCTTGCTCAGAACTGACTTTGTTAAGTTCAATTTTAAATAAATGAAAGGGGAAAAAGAGAGTTTTGTGCATTAGCACAATTTTTTTTTCCTTAAAGAAAAAAAAGTAATTGCTTGGCTTCCAAAACAAAGGGGAGAGAAAAGCCATTCTGAGACAGATTTGAGTTCTAAGGGAGGACACTTCCACCTTGGATGAATCTTATTCCTGGCAGTAATGAGGTTGGAATCCTGCCTTAAAATGTCCTGGATTTTAAGACTTTGACATCCTCTTCATGGAGGCAAAATGGTTCTGTTGCCACAGTGATTTCTCAAGAGTAAAATCCCCAACGAGTAAATATCAAAGGCAAGTGGCTCAGAAACCTAAGCTGCAGTGTCCTAAGGGAGGTATTGAGATTTCACAGGAAAAAAATACCGTTTACACACAATTGAACAGACCTGCCCTTGTGCCTTCGGTTCTTTGCCCGTAATCAGCAGCGGTGGTTGCTGATTACAAATCACTGCTATTAGTATTGGTGGCATCACGACAGCCACCTTTGTCCCTTCAATTTATCAGATCCAAATCTGAGGCCCCAAGGATACCCAGTGTCTTCCGACCTCGGGGAAGAAAATCCCAGTGGCGTGGAGACATGGGAAGGAGCGGTAGGCAAGATGAGTTGTAACATCCGGTCTACGAAGCAGAACAGGCCCTCGCCACCACTGTTGGCAAAGTGGAAACTCAAGTTCCCTAACCTTGAACTGCAATCAGTTAGGGTCCAAGGGAGAAACTGTTTCTCTCTCAGGGCCTGGTTGAAATGGGGCCTCGGAAGCTGTGGTGCCCACCCTTCCCTTAGGTCGACGGTACCTGGCAGAAAACAGGCAGAGGCCTCTGCTCAGACCCAGTGGCCAGGATTTGAGGAGCAGGACCATTGTAGTTCAGTTCCCCTCAGGCACAGAAAACAGGACAATTAGGACTCTACTAAAGGGTAAAAAAGCAAATGCATTCTGTGTAGATGATGAAGTCACACCAACGAAAGGGTGGTCTTTACAAAGCCAGGGTTGAACTGCTGTTTCCTCTGCTTACTATGGTCTACAGCAGTGAAGTTCAAAAATTGTAGTCCACGTCTATCATTTTTACCAGTAGAAGCTTAGGCTGACACCTCATTTCTAAAGCAGCTCAGAGGGGTGCTGCCCTGGCAAAGGTGGGACGCTTCCCCTGATGAGGCCTCATCAACAAGGAGCCCTGGAAAAGACTGCCCTGCACCATCTCGGGAGGCTCGTGAACATGCAGATTCCCAGGCCCAGCCCAGACCCACTGAATCGGAGTCAGGTGACTGGCTCAGGAAGCCCCACTGTTAGCACATGGCACAGGTGATTCTCACTCCCATCTACACTTTGAAAACCCCGGCTCAGGAGGCTCCAGCTTTATGGTGTCTCAAAAGTTAGAACCAACTACAATAGTCTGGAAGGACTGAGAAGCCAGCTGCAGTCCACAAGTTCAGGACCACGGAATGGTCTCAGCATTGTTCTGGGGTGTCTGTGCCACCTTCCGTAGCACAGAGGGGTTCTAAACAAGTACAAGCATTTCCCTAATAACCAGTGATGTTGATGTACTCCTATGTTCATTGTAGCATTATTTGTAATAGTCAAGACATGGAAACAACCGAAGTGTCATCAAGGGATGAAAGGATAAAGAAGGTGTGGTCCATGTACACAGTGGAATACTATTCAGCCATAAAAATGACAACACGTTGCCATTTGTGACAACATAGATAGATCTTGAGGGTATTGTGCTAAGTGAAATAAATGAGACGAAAAAGGACAAAGTCATTTAATTTCACTCTGAGACTATAAAATAAAAAAGTAACAAACGAACTGACAAAACAAACAAAAACAAATCATAGATATTGACAACAGAATGGTGGTTATCAGAGGGACAGGGGTGTGGGGAAGGCAGAAATGGACATGGGGTCAAATATATGATAACAGAAGGAAACTAGACTTTAGGTGGTGAACCCACAAGTGTATACAGATCTCGAATTATAATGTTGTACACCTGAAATTTATATGATGTTATTAACCAATGTTACCTCAATAAATTTAATTTTTTAAATGCCTAAGTATAAGCACAGACTATATTTCACTGCATCTGGCCAAAGACCCTACGTATGCAGAGTCTCAATGAAATAACAACAGGAGCCTCTGGGAGGAATGTGTTGGTGGGGTATTGGGGACAGGAACGGGACTTCTCACTCATTCTAAAATGATGATAGCTTAGTCCCTGTAATGACAGCTGTTAAAATGTCCCATTTCCTATCTCTCTAATTGGATACAACCAACCAAAAAATCTGGAAGGAAAGAAAAAGGCCCTAAAGATCCTCTTGTTGGAGCTCTAACCAATCAGCAAACTCGTTGATCTACTCCTCATCCTTAGACGGGACCAATCATAACACAGAAAGCGAGACCAGCCAGAGCTTGGGATGTTTTGGCTCCTAGAAGAGGATGAATAAGCGTAGATGATGGAGAAGGTGGATGGAGAGCAGTAACCACCAGGCAGAGCCAAGAGGCTTCCATCCCGATGTAGGTCTAAAGATGAGCTAATCCTGAACCACTGGGACCCCAGGAAAACCACAGAACACAGGTACAAAACCAACACACACTGCCTGGGCCTCAGTTTCCACATCTGGAATATGAAGGGGTGTTCCCAGGGTGACCTCCAATTTGAGAAACCCACAATTTCAACACCACATCCAATATGATTGGGGGTGAACAGTGTCAGGGAAAACACTGGGGGTGAGGGACTCCAGTCCAGGAGGTATGACTCACTCCAAGCACCCAGAGACCACCTGGTCTAGGACAGAGCCCGCTCAGTGAGTTTGAAAGATCATCCACGACAGTGGCAATGCCAGAATCTCAACATTGCAGGGCCTTCAGCCACCTTGTTGGAAGGGGTGCTAGACCTGTGTTTGCAGGAGCAGTATATGATAGAATGAGAAAAGAGTCAACATCAGTGCCTCTCTCCAATATTTCCTGTTCTCCTCTACTTCCCGACATGTGGAGGACCTGTCCTTCCCCATGGGTTTGAAGTAAGGCCAAGCCGTGTAAATTGCTTTATCCAAGAAAATGGGGCTGGAAGAAATATGAGAAATTTCTAGGGTGGAAGCACTTAAGAGTCAAGGTAAGAATCCCCAAGCTTTCTCCTCTGCTGTTGCAACAGCTGTGGAAGTATGTGTTGCTATGGAGGTGCCATAAGAACAAATCAGCCTGGAGCATGGAGCCAACACACAGGCAACTGCCCTGGAGAGTCATTTGGGTCCCCAGAGAAATCTGTGTGATCAGGAAATAAACATTTGTAGTGTTAAGTGTCAGAGATTGGGGGTGTTTGTTACCAGAGCATAACTTAGCCCATCCTGACTGGTACAGTTCATATCAAATAGTGGGAAGATGAAAGACTGGTGGAGGTTATATTTGCTCTTGCTCTGTGCTTCTGCTGAGTCACCACAATGGTGCTCAGGATGAACATTTTCACTGTTACTATCATTATTAAAAAAAACACACACACACAAAAAACAAAGTTTTGTGACAAATGCTTTTTATATATGATCAATCACCTTTCGTCCTCACAACATAATGAGATCATTTTATAAATGAGA